CAAAGCTCGAAATACTGTCTTAGACATTTTAAGCAGAAGAGGATTTTATGATATTGCTGGAATGATCTGCTCATACCACCTGATGGTTTCTGAAAGTCTTAAATGTCTAACTTGCAGTGAGTTGCATCCTTTTAGGATCAATACTCGAAAGACTCTCTTAGATACTTTAAGCAGAAGAAGGATGTGGAGATTTCAATGGCAGGATATGATCAATTTACATATTGGTTCTAGTAAGTTATAAGTGTCTAATTGCCAATTGTAAGTTGTATCATTTTCTGATCAGTGATGGTTCCTGCAAGTCTTAAATGTCTAACTCGCAGTGAGTTGTATCCTTTTAGGATCAAAGCTCGAAATACTGTCTTAGACACTTTAAGTAGAAAAGGAATTCCTGAAATCAATATCAGTAGTTTTCATGACTGGATCTGTTCTTGATTCTGGAAAGGATTATAATATTTATTGGGCATAATTAATATATTTATCCTAAACCATTATTGGATTTTAAAATTTGTTTATTTATAGGATATATGTACAAAATGGGATGGAACTGGAATAATGGAAGGAAATAGAAGTTTCAGCAGATAAGGAACATGTCTGGCTTAGTGGAACTATGTACTATCTGCATGCACAGCATTGTGCGTCCTTCTAGTAAGAAGATTCATCACTGTTCGGATTTCGACCTACAGATTTGAATTCGTAAATAGTGAGTTATTTGAAAACATATCGCAAATATTTTGCACACCGTTTTATTTATCAATTATGAAGACATAAAAACATTTGTTTCTATCTTTCATAGAACTGTGTACACTAAAAATTAATTGATTTGAATAACATAAAATATTTTTAAATCATTGATTTAATTGTATGAAAGATGTTATAAATATTAGGTCTCAATTGAAATTTGTTGACTTCTGCCATCTGTACTCATAACCATTGTTACAAAACAGAAATGCATTATTAAATCAAGTTTTAATTTTCATTTACAATAATTCTTCTAACTCTGAAGATGCATTATATTTTGTATAGTTAAACTATACTTTTTGCATATACATTTTGCATCTATGCATTTTCTTCAGTTCAGCAATAATAATAATAATATAAATATTTTGGTGATCTCGGCAATATATAGTATAATCACGGTTTATTTTTAGTATCAAATTTATCTCATAAATGTAAATAGAATTACAAATTTAATATGGACTGATATGAACCTACCACAGTTCTGTGAATTTATGTTATCCTGTTACTAAAACGTACAAAATAGTGGCCAATTGTAAAAAAAAATCACTCTTGATAATAACCTCTTTGTTTAGCTGTTATCTTGGTACTAAAAAGAGCAAAACAGTCATCGTCGTAGCGTTTTGAGTTAGTTGGTTTCTCCACAAATAATCTCAAAATTAGAAAAACTATAATATATTTATTTAAAACTGTGAATTAATAATTGAATATTTTTATAATTAAATTCTCTTAATTGTTTATTTTTAGAAAGTAACAGAAATTGCAAACAACAAACAATCTGTAAATCAATTCATTTCACTTGTGAGTTTCTGTTATCCTGGTAACTAAATCGAACAGGATAGACTAAATTGTTGCCAAGGAAACCAATGCCAATATAAATCGTATATATATATAATAAACAAACCTTCTTGTGTTGCTATTATCCTGGTAGGAAAACGAGCAAAACAGTTGTCGATCATGTTCGACGCGCCGAGTCGCGCAAAACACTGAAAATACTCTAAAATATAAAGAACAATGAATTTAAAAATTTCTTTTTCTTAATGTTTAATGATTCCAATCACAAAATTATGAAATCTATAAAACATATTTTTTTAATTCTCTTAATTGCTGAAATTTCGTCGTTTTTCTTATGAAATGTGTTGTTTTTAAGAAACACATTGGATGTGTGTGGTTCCATAAAAATCATCATATTGGTTAAAATGTAATAATTAAAATATCGAAAATTGGAACACTAATATTTTGTCATTGTAGTTTACACAGTATTAATAATAATATTAATTAATTTACTAGCCAACATATTGAATTGTAGCAGTTATTGTTGTGTAGGGAAATGTAAACATTATTTTTATAAATTAAGAGTAAAAATAAAATATGTGTATAGAATTTATCAAAATTATTCAAATATTGTTGAAACAATACTTCTTATTCCATTAAATTATTTTCATTTTAACATATTAATTTATTGTTAGGTTAGTTAGGTTATTTAATAATAATTCATAAATATAATACGTCCATCACATCAGACGATGGTTCAAAACAATTTACGAATTAAAAAAAGACATGAAAAAAATACACAATTTAATTTTACTTGAAATACTCGTATATGAAATAATAAACAAGGGTTGCTCTATAGTTTTTTGTAATAGTTGCAAGAATTGAAAGTATTCTGATGTATTTATTTAATTAAGGTTTAAATTCTGTGTAACCTTTACAAAAAATGTTGTTATTAATACTATACTATATAATACTATAGAACATTGGTTTACACACTTGATGTTACTACGCCTCCCTTAAAAATATTTAATCATTTGGCCCTTCCCCCCTACATTTCATAAAATATATAAAGCTTTAGCAGTCATTTGGAAAATTGCTCACTCAGACTAATATTCTCGCCTCCCAGTTTGGAAAACGCTGCTATAGAACATAAAGTTTTTTTTTAAAAGCCATGCATCAGCGGTAACATAAGATTGGATTTTTGTTTTAAAGAAGTAACCTGATGTACTTATTATTTATTATTTTTTGTTTAATTTCTGTATTCTGCGTAACTCTTGTAATAAATTTTGTTATTATTATTATTGCTAACAAAATATGATTATATAACACAGAACGTTTATTTAATAACAACATTGTATTGAATCCATACACGATTTTCATAATCCTTTCAAAAAACATTTTTTTTTTAATATCAAATATGAATTTATTGAAAAGTTTGAATCCGAAATAGCCTGACTTGAATAGATTATGAAATATTGAATTACACTTTACGAAAATTGTTACGAAATCATTATTATTTTTTTTAAACAAAATCTAATGTAAAGAATAAATAAGATTCGGTTTTTTGTAATATATAATAATGAAAAATAATAGAAATATAATATCTAAAAATATCTTATATAGAAACAATAGTTTTTAGTCTATTGCAATAAGAAAAATCAATAGTTTCCACAGTTATTAATGTTTCTGTTTTCCTATTATGTTTCGTGCAGAAGATAACCGATCTTATCCGAGGCTGAGTATCAAAATATCAAACAAATTGGCGGGAATTGCTATTGGGCCATATAACCTCTTTTAGTTCATAGCATCCTAGTATAGAAACGAGCTAAAATATGATCGACACATGCTCGACATACATGTACAGCAAAAATATAATTTTTTATAGTTTTCGAGTTAATTATTTTTCCACCAAAAATCGTACCAAATAATAGATAGAGAAATTGAAAATACTCAAAAATATGATGAAATGAAAAATATTGTTTCTTAGAAACACAATTAAACAGTTAAAAAAATTATCAACTCATATATAACTCAAATTTTGTTATTATACTTTACAAATTTGTAATTTATCAATACTATGATA